TTTTTTTTTTTTTTTTTTGGTACCAGGGATTGAACTCAGGTCCTTGCGCTTACGCAGCAGGCAGCGAAACCACTGAGCTAAATCCCCGGCCCTATATAGAGAAATTCTTAATATCATGTAAGACATGATGTTGTCTTTGCTGTAGAGAGAACACACAGACACTTTATGCCGCCTGAACATGATGCTGATGTTCACCGAGTGTGTGCTGGACCTGACAGCCATGCAGGGCAGAAATCCTGAGTTGTGCACATCTGCCGTGTTCTTGTACCAGATTCAGGAGAGTGTGGTTGTAGACCAGGTCAGCCAGCTGAGCAAAGACTGGGGGTATGTGTCCCTTTGTAGTTAATTTCTAGATTCTTCCTGTTTTCTGTAAACTTGCACCTTAGACATAGGTATTGTTATTTACTGAGAATCACATCTCATCATTAAAAGTTTCAGTGGAATCTCTTTAGAAGTTATGTAATTATATGATGTCACTGTATGAGCTGAGAGTTTATTGTGCAAACCTAGCATTGTGTTTGTCCTGAAGTTATACCATTGAAGATACTTGATGAGGAGAAGATGATGTGGATTTTTATCTTAGTGTTTCTGTTGTTTTCAAAGTTTACAGATCTTTCTCCAAGCCATGTGTTCTCCCTTTAGGAGTTATCTGTGCATTTTAAAAAATGTAGAAGATTCCCTTAGAAAGACTATATAAATGGTGGGCTGATCTGTGGTATGCAGAGTCTGGTGAGTTGGTTCAAAAGATAACACTGTGCTCCTGTCTTCTTGGTGCAGGAGGGTGGAGCAGCTGATGTTATACATGAAAGCAACACAGCTGCTTGCAGCTTCCCTGCATCTCACCAAAGCCCAGATCAAGTCTGGGAAGCTGAGCCCATCGACAGCTGTGAAACAAGGTATGGAAGCAGATGGTAGCATGAGGCTTCATGGCCCTGGAGTCACCCCTTCTCATCCCAAGAGAGAAAATTTTTGTGGAGGAATAACTGTTGCTCATTATTCTGTACAGGGGAAAATATGGCTATTTTTTGGTTTTTCACCATTTATCAGTACAGAAAGAAATCAGAAGGGCTGTCTTTTCATACTGAAAAAGACATCATAGAACCTGATTACCAGTACTTTCCTTCAGTGGTCATGTGGTGTCACTTATATCAGCAGGAAGGGTTTGTGTCATTGTGTTGTTATTCTGGGGAAAATCAATTCCCATCTCAACTTTTTCCAGTTGTGAAAAATCTGAATAAGCGATATAAATTCTGCATCACCACGTGCAAGAAACTTACAGAAAAGCTGAATCGCTTCTTCTCTGACAAACAGATTTATTGATGAAATCAACAGTGTAACTGCAGAAAAACTCATCTATAATTGTGCAGTGGAAATGGTAACTATTTTATTTTTTCTCCCCCCTGGTACTGGGGATCAAACTCAGGACCTTGCACTTGCAAGACAGGTGTGGTACCACTGAGCTAAATCCCTGGCCCTGAGATGATAACTATTTTTAAGGTTTAATATCTTGTAGCACTAAAATGCTTATCTCTAAGAGTATTTTTTGAACACCTGCTTGACGTTATCTGTCCTTTTAAAAGAATGCACAGTATGCCCTAAAACTCCTCTTAATAAAAATTTTATTATATCCCCTGTTAAACTTTGCTGACATTTGGTGTTAGCTCATCTTTTTATAGTTTGCATCTAAAAGTATTGGCTGGCTCTGCTTATGTGTTTTCTACTGTTTTAAGAAATGTGGGGGACTGGAGGTATAACTCAGTAGTGGAGTACTTGCCTAGCCTGTGTGAGGCCTTGGGTTTGATCCCTAGCATTGCATGCGTACATGAATTAACCAAACAACCAATGAACTAATTTTTGCTCAATAGCTTAATCTTTTTTTTTTTTTTGGTACTGGGGATCGAACTAGGGTCCTTGTGCTTGTGAGGCAGGTGGTGGAACCACTGAGCTAAATCCCCAGCAATTTTTGCTTAATAAAAGAAAAAATACTGCTTTGTTAATCAACCTGCAAGTTCTCCAATGTTCCACTTACTATTGAAGTACGGACACCAAGGAAAATCTGCTTTTCTAATTGTCTGGTGGTTGTAACATTGGAAATAATCTATTTTTTGTCTCTACTGGGGGAAAATTGTGCTCTGAATTATAGGTAAAAATAGTAGCTCTGAAGTAAGTAGGGAAAATTTTATTTATTGAGATGTTATTTTTACCACATTAATGTAATACATTTCCATTTATTTGCTCTGAGTTATACTGACATTACACTCTTGTCCTTTTGAAAGCCATTAAAACAGTAATATGAAAATAACTTTGCAATATAAACTGAGCAGAATAATATACATTACATGATTCTAAACCATTGAAAGGAATAATATACATTGTATCATTCTGATTAAAGACTGCCTAAGAATATTGTGCCAGGCCAGGCACAGGGGCAGAAGCCTGTAATCCCAGTACTCTGGAGGCTGAGGAAGGAGGATTGTTGTAGAGTCGAGGCTAGCCTGTTCTATATAGTGAATTCAAGACCAGCCTGGACTAATAGCAAGACCTTGTCACAAAACAAAACAAAACAAAATTGTGCCAGGAAAAATGTCTTCTAATCAGAAATTATATTGCTTCTTTCCTTTCTGATAGTAGTAGCCTTGTAATTTCAGTGGGTTCTTTATACTGTGTCTAGTTAGCAAGCTTAGAGGTATCAATAGTTACATTTACCGTTTTCTGTTTCATGGCTCTAATTTTCGGTATACATTTTAGTACTTTATCATAAGTGAATTTATTTTTGTAAAGGAAATAGGACACGTGCTAACAAGTAAATTAAGATGCTGAATTCCTGAGAGTTCTGGCATTCAATGATTAACAAGAAAATCAGAATGCTGTTGGGAAAACCTATAAATACTACAGCTGTCCTCTCTTTTTGGAAAGCCCCTCTTTACCTTTCCCATCACTTGGCTCTTGCTCCTTTTTTTTTTTTGCTTGTTTGGGGGTTCTTTTTGGGGTTTTTTTTTTGTTTTTTTTTCAGTACTGGGCATCGAACTTGGGACCTTGTGCTTGCAGAGGCAGGCGGTGGATCCACTGAGCTAAATCTCGACCCTCATGCTCCTTTTTTATTACTCAGGCTAAACATCAGCTCCTAGAAGCTTTCCTTAATCTCCTCCTTCCATAGTTGGGGTTAGATGCATGGCCTGTGTGATCCATACCATGCAGTGCTTCCTCCCATATAACATGTTCCCTGTAGAATTAGAATTGCATGTTGTTCCCTTGAGATTCCCTTTAGATTGTGAGCACTCTTTTGGGGTATGTTCAGTGCCTCACATTGGTAGGTACTCAGTATCTCTGAATTCACAAATGAAGACTATACCTGAAAATTCTTTGACTGGAAAAATAAGCTAACAGATGACTCTTAACATAATTTAACCATAATGTAACAAAGTGTACTTTAATGAAATGCCACAATACCCTAGTGTGAAGGCATATGTTTAAAATAAACTTTTAATGAAGTCATAGAAAAGTCAGTTTAGAAGGGTTCTGGTGTAAATTTTGAATCATGGCCCTGCATACCAGAAGGCTGGGTTTAAATGTAGATCTTTTGTTAAAAAGCTGGTCCTTGGGCTGGGGATTTAGCTCAGTGGTTCCACTGCCTGCCACGCAAGAGCAAGGTCCCGAGTTCAATCCCCGGTACCAAAAAAAAAAAAAAAAAGCTGGTCCTTTATTTTGGCTCATCCTGAAGAATCTTTCAAGTTTTATGTAGTTTAGCAAACTATATCTTTTCATTAAAATGTATTAATTTTAAAGCTGTTTAAGGCTGTATTGGCCCAATAAACTTCTCTTTTCTTGGAAAAGTTGAGAATCTTCTCGTTCTTATTGACTGTTTCCAGGTTCAGTCTGCTGCCCTGGATAAGATGTTTCAACAGACAGAAGATATTGTTTATCGCTACCATAAGGCAGCCCTTCTTTTGGAAGGCCTTACTAAGATTTTACAGGATCCTGCAGATATTGAAAATGTACATAAATGTAAGCTGAATTACACAGTAATTTCTCGTTATCTGTGTTTTTATTTTCTGGAATTTTCAGTTACCCAACATCAACTAGTGTCTAAAAATATTAAATGAAAATCTCCAGAAGCAGTCCATAATTTTGAAATTTTGTTCTGCTCTGATCAGTAGCATGATGAAATCTTGAGCTATCCTGCTGTGCCCCATCTTTGTCTCGAATGTCCATGCTATATATGCCACCTGCCAACTTAGCAGCCATCTCATTTATCAGATTTACTGTCTTGGTGTTGCAGTACTTATAGATAGAGTTTGGTATAATCCATGGTTTCAGACATCCACTGGGCATCTTGGCTCATATCCTTTGAGGATAAGTGGTGTTTATTGATTCCAATTTAGTTGTCTCCTACAGGTGTAGTAGAAAAAGTTTAGAATTTGGAATCATATTGCCTGTGTTGGCTTTCCCAACTTTAGCAAATTACTTAACCTTTATGTGGTCTTAGTTTCTTCTGTAAGACAGGGGATAATGGTGCCTACTTTGCAGAGTTGTAAGGATTAGAAATGAATATGAAACATGGATAGCTTTTGTCATTAGTCTTCAGATTTCTACACATTATTTTGTTGGCAAATATGTGCTGGTAAATGTAAGAGAACATTGTTTTTATCATTAAAATCTTAGTTCC